GGATGACCCAGATTGAATCGCGATAAACGACCCAGATTCACTCCCTATATAATCGCGATCAGACAGTCTAGATTAAAAGTGATAGACGGCCCAGATCAAAAGTGGATGGGTATAAATAACTCCATCCGCACCCAAACCCTAACCCTAGCTGCCAGAGCCCCTCACCGGAGAAGATAGCCCAGCCGCCGGGGAGCCGACCGCCGCCACCCGCTGCCGCACCGGAGCAATTTTTGACCGCCAAACAAGGTAAAAATTTCTCTTCTTGCACAAAATTCAATTTTAAACCCACCCATGGCCAAATCGGAGTGACAAAACCGATCAATTGGCCGAAAAACGTCGCCGAAGCTTAGCAACGCCGCCGCAGGGTGTTTCAAAAAATGCCTCCAATGAGGCCCTTCTCAATTCCCCTTCGATGTGATTTTTCTACCATTGTGATCACTGTTTCCTTCTCTACAGGTTGACCAGAGCAAAACACTCAACTGCAACGTGAGCCAGAGGAGCCGCCACACCGAAGAGCCCCACTACCAGTGAGTTTCAATTTTCTATGTTTTTTTGGCCAACCGAGGGCCCTAAGTGTGTTTTCTTGCAGGAACCGATGCAAGTTAGGCTGAATTCGATCGAAAACGGCCAAAAACAGCCAACCCGAGGCGGGTCGTTGCCACGGGCGGCGGTGCCGTTGCTGGAGCATGGCAGAGCCGCCGTGCCAGATTTTCGAAATTGGCCGAATAGGCCCTGTGACTGATTTTTGGGTTTATTTGAGGCATTTATAGGTACCGTAAACTCGTTTCAGTTTCCAAAGAAAAATTCAGAGAACCCAGGGACCGCCCGTAAGTGCAGTAACCATTTAGTTTTCGGCGTCGAATTAGGTAAGGACCCCTCACCCTATTTCCTATCATAGATGTGAAGTTTGAATAAATAATAATACGATTTTTTGTACAAGTTAGATAGATATGCAATAATTAATTACAGTTTGTTAATGGAGCCCGAATCGGATATTGTTCTCTGTTGATTTTTGTTGATTTATTTTATAATTTAAAGGTATGATGGTATCTGGTTTAGGGCTTTAAATGCATGTAGTACTGTCTTACTTGACCACTGTGTAATTTTGGGATTTAAGATATGACTGTATTACCGGGTGCATGTTCATTGTTTATGTGATTGTGTTTAATTTGGTAATAGAGATTAAGGAGAAATAGGAAAGGGATGTGATCTAATAAACAAATAAGGTGACAGCCTCACTAGATTTCCTGGGAGATGGTAGACGAACCAGGTTCATAGGGAACCCTACCGTGAACGTTGTCTCATATCGGACAGGGTATGGAGACTTGATCATTTGGCGCTCATACCGGACGGGGTATAGGGACAGCCTGCTTCACCCTCATACCGGACGGGGTATTGAGGTTTAATGTTTTTGCGCTCATACTGGACGGGGTATGGGAACAGCCTTGGAATTAAGATTGAGAGAAATAGTTCATGTGTAGCGGGGACACCCCTATAGATCTCCATGGATACTAGTAAGTTGGTGAAACGAGAAACGGTGATGATTAGTTATTGTTAATGAATATGAATTTATGATATGTTCTATGTTACTGATTGTGCATGAAGTTATGATCTGTATGATGTTATTGTCTTTATATGTTGTTTTCACATATTCAGCAATGGTAAGAAAAATGGTAAATAGTTTTACTTTTAATGAATGTATTGGTTTAAATTTAGTGCTCTATTGGTTGTTTTTAGTTTTCTACCAAGCTTTGCTTCTGTGCCTGCGATATAGTGTGATGTCCTTACTGGGGTAGTGTAGTTCACTCCTTATTTAGTCATTTCAGATCATGAGGACTTGGTTCCCGAGCCCGATCAGCAAGAAGGTTGTGAGTAGATGTTAGATACTTTATAGTTTCCTTTATTTGTTCTATTTCTTATATTTCTTTTAGAGAATTTATTCCGTGATATTTGTTTAGTACTTTTAAGTTATCGTATAAGGGATGTTAATCTTAACTTTTATTTCGTTTCCACATTCAAATTATTATATGCATTTCTTTTTAAATTTTTGGGGCTATTATATAAAAAATTCTTTCGGTTAATGTTAAAACATTTAAATAGTAAATAAGCTTATTCATTCCATATAACAATAAAAGCTTTAGAAAATTTCCCTTCTTTTAAAGTGTATCTTTCTAAGTTTCAATCAACAAAAATTGTTATTTACTACTAACATTACACTAACACTACGTAATCTATAACACATGTACAAAAGGAAAAATTATATTAACTATTATATTGGAGTCAAAACATAAAGTAAATATGTTTTGCTTTTCATAAAAAAAATTATCAGTAGTAAAAGTATCATGTACATTAAGTTCAAGAAAATTTTTTGCTACTCTATCTAAAATATTAGAATAGAAGGGCAGAATTGTTTTAGGAAAATAACCATTTAGTTAATGAATTATGCTTTATTTTCTAATTGAATTAAACATTTTTCATCACAAATTGATCAATTATAAGCTAAAAAATTATTTTAAATTGGAAATTTTTTGTATAAAATTTTATATAAATAGTAGAATTTTCTACTATCTTTCTTAAGTAGTCCAAAAATTTACTTAATGTAAAAAATATGTTGGTTATATTTATTGTGAGGTATGACTAAATTGAAAAAAATTCTTAAAAATATTAATTATCTCGTGTCTTATTTTTAAAGATATGATATAATCATCTATATATAATTTAATTATTTTTTAAAATTTATTTTCGGTTACTATAATTTTAAAACTTTATAGGAAGAAATAGGAAAAGTAGAAAAGAAAAAATTGTCTGTTATCAAACTTTCTATAATTGCAAAAAAATTTATTACAGAAAGTAGCTTTCTTTAAATCATAATGAAAAGAACTTTTAAAATTTAATTAAAACGTGGCCAATTGTTTAAGATTGAAATAATAATTTTCCTATTATTTTATTCAATAAAAGATACTAAACTAATTTGATATTTATTCATAATATAGAGGAAATTTTTTGGATCGATAATACAAAATTTTTAACAAGAACTGACGCCATCATCAATAATAACATACATAAAAATAGTAGCACATATATGTATATTAAATTCACTAATATGTACTTGCAATTTTTCCAAAGCTAGGTAATATTATTTAATTATAGTGGAAAGAAATTCAGATTATAAGGACTTAAATTAATGTAATTAAAACAAAATTATCTTTTCTTGTTTCTTGATAAAAAATTTGTATTGAAAAAAAGCACTAATTAGAGTTAGGAAACATGAAGAAATCAATGTTTTATTACATTAATTTTGTGTTTACAAAAAAGAATTGACAAACCCATTGGGTCAAAAGGGTTCAATTAACCCATATCTAAATAATTCTCAGAAGCAAAATATTTCTAAACGAATGAAGTAATTACGAATTACATCAATAAAATCATAATAGTAATAAATATATATATAATTAGAATGAAGGAAAAAAAAATTAAAAAAAAAAGTCAAAGTTACTCCCTAAAAATTAAACTTACTCCAAAATGGGAAAATCCCGTTTTGGGAAATGAGCTTAGGAGGCTGCAACAGTTCTTGGGCTTGGAAGGCCCATGTATGCAATCCTAGGAGACAAATGGATCTTTGGGCTTGGTCGGGGCGAAGGAATCGGGCCGAAACAACCCATAGGGCTACGGCCCACCCGAGGCGATAGATTAACCTGTTCCAGTGCTCTGGATTGTAACTCTGTAGGATAGTCCCGAACACACCCGATTCTGGGCCCAGCGCCTGTGCTCCATTTGCACGACAACCGTTTGGCCAATTCATACACTGCTGCTTCCACCTTCTCATCATTCGCTGGGATATGATCCCCTGTAGTTTCCTTCATTCCACCGTCCGATTCTCTAGATGTAAAGGAGCCCTCCGATTTGGGCTCCTCCTTATTCGCCATAATTGAAAAACTATCATCGTCAACTGAACATCTCTGCAATTTTTTTTTTTTTTTTTAAAAAAGAACACGAAAATATTACAAAATCACTTTATTTTTTTTTTATTTTATGGAGTACTCATTAAGAATACATGAATCGTAATTATTACAAACAAATGTAAATTATGATAAATGTGATTATCATAGTGCAGGCATTTAATTGTATTCATGAATAAAATTAAACACAGGAAGATGATGTGTGTATATATGTATGTATGTACCTTAACATTAGTGAGATCTACGTTGTTTTCTTGGAGGAAGCTAATGAATTCTCTGAAGTTCTCTTCTGTTGGGTGATAGTGACCGCTGTACGGCCATATAGCCTGCAAAGGTCCAATAATATTTACACATATAAACATATATATTATATGTATATGTATATGTACATGTATATGTATATGTATATGTACCTCAAGAACTCCGGCGTGGGCAACTAATCTTCCGGCGGCGGTGGTGGCGCCGCCAGAAAGAAAGCTGGAGTGCTGAAAGGCACCTTTCTTCTTTTGACCCACATATAAAGACCGAGTAGTGCTTAGTACAAATATCCACTTGGAGCCCTCCAGGGTTTCTACAAGTCCCCCACTTTGTCTGTACACAAGCTTCCCTTTTTCAACAACTACTTCGTATGTTTCTCTTTCTTTCTGTAACATTTATATATGTTAGATATTAATGAATTTAATAAAGTCAACATATACCTATATATTTGAATATATACTTACTGGTCCAAGATAGGTAATGCATTGGCGTTGTAAGACAGTTCTAGGACATTTTTCCAGATTTACTTCTTTCCCGTCTCCAACATCCAACCTACAGTCGTACATATTAAACAATCGGTTTTAGTTCTGAGTGATATATATATATATATGTATATGTATATACGTGCATATATATCAAGGACTGAAAAGATAAGTGGTTATTACCAATAGAAGAAAGGCTGGGTGCTTTCGCTTAGGAACCAGACATCATAGTAAATGTGCAAGTTGTGTCCGTATCTATGTCTTGGATCAATCTGTTCCATAACGTGGAAAGTCAATTACCAAAATTGAAGGAAACAATTTATTTTATATGTATATTGCTTCAGCTTTAAATTTTATCAACTCAAGATTTTGTCTCTTTACAAAATAGTGGAGAAAGGTCAAAAAACTCAAGCTAAATATTTTTAGAGTAATTAATTTATTTGAATGAATATTCAATAAAAGACTTACAGCTTCTAGCCAGTGTTGAAGGGCTAATTTTTGAGCTTTCTCATCCTTGGATAAGCCCTTACCCACCTGCATACAAACACACACACATATACACTGTAATTCTGTAAACAAAACATGAAATTACATCATAAAAAATTATATTATATATTATATGTGTCTGAAAATTGGATATTAATATTCATACCTTGGCGGCTCTTGTTCTAGCTCTAGCCCATCTGGAAACAGCAGATTCTGGTTTTTCATCATTGAAAAATGATACAGAACTTCGTTTTAGAGCTGCAAAGTCCAAGGCTTTCCACCTAAACAAACATACCCTAACTTTAGCCCACCAATAATATATACATATATGTGTATATATATATATACCTAAAAGTTAAAGAGGATAATCAACTAACCAGAGCTCTTCAACGACGACTGCGCAATCTGCAAGGTATCTTCTTGTTCTATAACTCTTATAAACTTTCTGAAGCTTAACTGCCGCAGCATCAAGCTCGCTTACAGGTCTTGGCGAGAAAAAGATGGCTGGCTCCGGAAGAGCAAGATTAGGAACTTGTTGGAGCATCATCTTTCCATCTTTGCCGCCATTGGAGGACCGCGGTGTGGATGATCTCTTTCTGTACTCTTCAACTAAAAGATTCTCAAACGAGAAATCCTTGTCAAGAATCACCTTTTCAGGCTTGTTGTTTGTCTTCAAATTGATTGAGTTCCTTCTTTTAAGCTCAACACCAGACCCATCAACTGAGTCACTGTTGTTGGATTCTGAATCTGTTTTCTTGAAGCTGTCAACTCTCAAAATCACTTCTCCATCTTTTCTATGGAAACTTATGTTGAAGGCTTGACTAAATAGTCTGTGAGTTACAATTTCTTCCCAAGCAGATACCAGCAGCGAAAGAGATAAACCCATAAGCCTCAACACGCCTGTTCATCAATTTAATAAACCCAATATAGATAAGCACAAGTGGAGTATAATGGCCCCCATGAAAAGGGAACCTCAATAGAGTATGGACATTTATTTTTAGTCCACCCTATAAATTCAGTTTCTTATTAATGGTGGTTGGCTTCATTCTTTTCTATTTCATTATATATATATATAAGATGATGGGATCCAGTTCATTTCATAAGGAAAAGGATCAGACAAAAGAACAGAAAAATTAAAGTAAAAGGCAAAACGAAGGATATAAAAAAATATCAATTGTTGAGTAGAAGAACATCATATAACATGAATCACATATGAGTAATTATTGTAAGAACTTCGTCCGATAAATGCACATATCCTATGAATATACAAGCAACAAACATGCATACAGCAAGAAAGATTGAAATAATTTCTATCAAACACTTAGCTATGTAGGCCTTACTTTTAACAAGGAGGATGTATGACATAGAATTGATCATATGCAGATATATATTACGTTCATACATATATATATATAGAGACTCTCTGTAATAACTATACCTGTAATAATCAAAAGTCTTTGCCTAGAAAATGTTGTTTGTTTAAGTTGGTATCTCTCTGCTACCTAAATAGAACTCTTACAAGTAGAACAAAAAGGAGAGAGCCTAGCTTGTACAAGTTGGAAAGCTATAGTTTGGTATACTGGTGTTGTTTATATAGTGTATATATATATACATATAGATATTTATAATAAGAATTTGTACAGCTGGAATCCAGATAGAGAAGCGTCAAATACGTATGTATCAGAAGTATTAAAAGGGGAAGAAGAAGACGAAGATAAAAAGAAGAGAAGTGGTTGAATATATAGTTCGCAGCAATCAAGAAAGAGGGACGTTGGAAAATATATACAAAAACTTACCCAGCGGGTCTAATTCAAAGGTTCAAAACCACGAGTTGTAATTAATTGATGAATTCAAAGCTTCAAAATATTGAATTCCCCTCTGAGTGTGAAGGCTAATTGTAAAGCTAATTTGATTCCCAAATCTTTCTCCCTCAAAAATCAAAATCTTATTGACTATTTATACACAAATATTATATATATGTATATGTGCGTGTGCAGAATATGAGCAGGGGTGAAGAGAGAGAGAGCGAGATGGGCGGTCAAAAAAGTAAGCCTTTGCTCGGTTTCCATGAAGAAACGCGATTATATATATATACATATATATATACTCTCTGCGCCTGCGGAATTTTAATTTTTTTCTATTTTTTTGTCAGCTTCTTCGAAGTTTTATAGTTTTTTATTTCATGGATTTTTATTTTCCTAAACATTTACTCTATGAATTTATCTTTATAAATGGATGCTTTTGATTTCAGTTAATTACGGTTTAACTCAAATACATATGGCATATATATTTCATGATGAAATATATTTAAATCAGCTTTTCTTTGTAGACAATATATGGAGAAATAAAAAATAAAAAGGGTGTTATATACGACTAGATATGTAACACTAAACGACATGAGCAGAAGAGATGTAAAGCAAGGAGTAGTTGTGATGGTGAATAGAAAATGCATATTAGTCAAGATCAAACTGGTCAAAATCAAAAACTCTTATAAGTCTCCTTTTGATTTGTCTGCATTTTGATCAAAATAAATGTTGAATGTTAGGCTTAATTTAACCCTGTCTCATCCACACTAGCACAACATTACCCTAATAATGATGTGACTTGATTTCTAAAATATTATATATATATATATTTTAAATAATATTTTTAGACAAAATTTTAATATATCTCTAAGAGAATTTATAATTTTATTAATGATGTTTTCTTAATTTTTATCATAATCAAATTTTTTTTTCGATATTATCTGTAAATATAAACTTACTTGCTTAGTTACGTTAAATTTAATTTTTTTTTTTTTTTACTTTTTATTTTCTGTGGTTATAAGTATATATGGATTTTATTTTATCAACACCTAATTTAATTTTATATCTTGAATTTTGGATAATCGGTGAAATACATATATAAATAATTTCACCTCAAATTTTGTACCAAGTAATTTTATTAAAAAGAAAATAAAAAATATTTTTTATATGAAAATAAAAGAGTAGAGTAAGCTTCTTCGAATTGCGGAAAGGCTTTTTAAATTTGGTAATATTCAACTTTTTAAATTTGATATTGACAAGGTTAAAAGTTTATCCAATAATATTTTTTTTATATCTAAAAATACTATTCAATTACTTTATTTTAATTTTCATCTCAAATAATTGATTATAATTAACTAAATCACACAAGGTCATAATGTTTTGAACTATAATTTTAAAATTCTAAGGATTTAATTGGTAATTGTTATTTTGAATGGATAAATACTATGTAGACAGCGTCATAGTAAACATAAAAAATTTTCTTAAGAAAATAACATGTGTCAATTTTCTGCTTTACTTATATATATATATATATATTAAATTAATAAAATTCCTTTTAGAATTTATGGTAAACTAGTCAAATAAAATAAATTGGAATTTTAAGGCTAAAAGTCAAAGTGAAAATTTTGACAACATTAATAAGAAAAAGAGTCAAAAACCCAAATATTAAGTTGAGCTAAAGAAATGTATCCAGTCGTTCCTCTCGGTTTTTGCCTCGTTGGTTCCTTCCTTGCCTTCTGCATTTTAGAGTATATGATATGGGTGGATTTATATATATATATATACACACTCTTCAATTTTTTTAATGGAAAATGTATTAAAAGTTTGATTCTGATTTGATTTATTGATAAACAATACGGATAATTTAATTCAATATTTTAATATATAATTATAACTCAACGTGTTAATTTTTAAAAATAAATATATTCTTTCTAATAAAATTTAATTGCTTATTTATCATTTGAGAGGAGTTAATGTCACATACCCAATTACAAACTAATAAAGCTAAAACATTACTATTATGTACCTGTGTATGTATATATACTAAAAAATAGTTCTTCCAATTATTAATTGATAATTTTCTGTCATACAATCCATAAATACATAACAATGACTATTGACCATGTAATATTCATTGTGGGACAAACTAAATATCAACTATGGAATTAGAAATAATGACTCAATTTTTATTGAATAAAAGTGAGACATATATACTATGTACAATTTTAATTAATGATCAACCAAATATTTTAATTGTAGTTAATCACCTAATTTATGCGACTTGTTATCAATCATCTAATTTATAAGATTTGTTGTCAATCATCTAATTTATAAGATTTGTTGTCAATCATCTAATTTGTAAAATTTACTGTCAATCGAATTATTTACAATAATTACAGAAATACAAAATTAAATAATTACTAAATTAATTCCTCTAATATGCTCCCTCAAGATGGAGCTCATGTGGACAGTTCAGTATTAGTATTCAAAAGTTGAAAGTGAGTGCGTGGAAGAAGCTCAGTCAAGAAATCTACTAATTAATCTTATGGGTGATAAGTAAAGCTCTACTTTGGACTTGATCCTGAATAAAATTACAACATACTTCTTCTGTGAATGGAAGATAAGATTGGAATAAAGATAAATTGCACCAATATTATCACGATGGATAATCGAAACATCAAAAACACAAATGTAAAACTCAGTAAGAGAACAAATCCAATATAACTCAGCAGTTATAGCAGCAATAAAATGATATTTAGCTTTAGTGGAGGATCAAGAAATCATGTGTTGTTTTTTGGAGGATTAGGACATGAGATTACAACTGATATACACAATATAAGCACTGGTAGAGGTGTAGTCATTCTTATTTCTAGCTCAGTCAGCATTTGAGAAGATATAAAGAGATAGAGATGTATGACAGTGCAATGAAAGACCATAATTAATTGTATTATAAAGCTATCAAAGTTAGTGCTTGACGGTATTCTAATAACCAATAGTAGGTTGATGCATGAATTGAGATAACTTATTAACAAGATATGCAATATCAAGGTGAGTGAGGCACAAGTATTGGAGACTTCTAACAACGACTCTATATTTAGAAGTATCAGTCACAACAATACCAGAAAGAATTATAAGTGTTAGCTCAGTGGTAAATGGAGTGCTGACAGATTTAGCCTCTGTCATATTTGTGCGAGTGAGAAGATCTGTGATATACTTCCGTTGAGAGAGAAGTAAACCAGTGGAATTAGTGGCAATTTTAACACCAAAAAGGTAAGTCAAATCACTAAGATCTTTGATGGAAAGGTTTTTGCCAAGAAGATTAATAAAATGTTGAATTACAGTGGGTATTACTTCTAATAATAATTATATCATCAATATACACAAGAGATAGAGTAAATTATAACTGGTGTCGAAAACAAAGAGTGATGCATCTGCATGAGAGTTTGTAAACTCAAAGGCTATAAAAACTTGCCTTAGCTCATGGTACCAAGCTTTGGTACTTGTTTGAGACCATATATAGTTTCCGCAACTTACGGACATGTGTAAGATTATTACAGTAAAGAAAACCTAGTGGTTGTGCCATGAAAACATCTTTAGAGAGATGACCTTATAGAAAGGCATTGTTGATACCAAGTTAACGAAGAGACCACCCACGACTAATAGTAAGATTAATGACCAAATAAATAGTGGTAGATTTGAGAACTTGACTGAATATATCATGAAAATCAATACTAGAACGCTGATGAAACCTCTTAGCAACTAATTAAGCTTTGCACTTGTCGTTTGAGCCATTAAGTAAATGTTTAATTATAAAAATCTATTTACAGCTGACAAGATGTTGTGTTGAATAAGGTGAGATAAGTTCTCATGTTTCGTTTCGTATAAGAGCATCATACTCTTCAGAAATAACTTGACGCCATTTAGGATCTTTGTGGGCTTGGATCAATATGTGATTCTCAAGTTGATGGTTTGAGATGATGGTGGTGGTAAGATTAAGTTTTTGTATGGACTTATGAATTTTATTTTTAGTGCAAGTGGTCATGCTGTGGGTGTTGGTGGGTGGTTTTGGAGGCGGGGGATCTGGAGAGAGAGCTAAGGAATTAAAGGGTGGATTCTGTGGATTATTGTTAGTGTCAGTGGAATATTTTGATCGATCAAATGGTGAGGTTCGGTCTATCGAAGTTTGACTAAGAGGAACGTGAGTTCAAGTATGGGACGTGCAGTTTCAAGGGTGTGTTGTGGATGGGAAATGTGGAATAATCGGCTGGAGATTGGCTGTAAGATGGATCTAAGCCCAGGGCGAGGTTGTGGAAGGGGTATTGAGTGGCGCAACCTTAGTAAGAAGAAATGACGCTAATAGAAACCAATTTGGGAGTATTTATAATCTTGGATGACTAAAATAACTCTGAATGGATTTGAATAGAAAGATAGTTCCACTAACTTGACATGACTAGATGTGTAGATTTTAAAAGTGAAAGGATCAAGACAGAGATAGACATTTTAGGTAAAGAAACATCTAACAAACACACTAGAGAATGATCGAGACTCAAATTTATGAGTAGAATAGGGACGAAGCCATAGATAACTAAAGATATGGGCTTCTCAAGCCCAACAACATCCCCTCAATTAAAATGGTGATTATATATTTTCTGCT